AGGGGGAGGAGGGAGGAGGGAGGAGGGAGAGCGGAAAGCGGAGAGCGGAGAGCGGAGAGCGGAGAGCGGAGAGCGGAGGAGGGGGGAGCGAATGACACTGAAGGGATGAGTGAGGGAGGCAGAGGGGAAATCAGCCTCAAAAGCAGCCGTCGACAACTGCAATAATCTTGTCGACGAAGATCTTCCATGGCTTGTCAAGGCGGAGGACGCGTCTGCTCACTGAAGCTGCTGGTTTTTCTCTGGGTCATGGGGGCGTATGCACCTTTCCATGAATATTCGGCGGCTTCCTGGACGAGAACTCTCCCCTGCATCCTCAGCCTGCATGCGGCTGCTGAGAGAAAAATGGAGCTGAGAGGAGGGTCCGAAAACCTCAAGGACCTGATAGAGGAGGCCGAGGAAGTGTTCGAGGAGGACGAAGAGGATAATATCATGAGGGAGTACAGCACCTCCGAGTGCGACGAGATCATATCCTATGGCTCCGAGTCGATCGACTGGTGAAAGGGAATGATGGGAGGGTGTGAGGCGACTCACGGGTTGTCCTTGCAGCAAGATCTACGAGTGCATGAACCGAGAGGGCACAGACGAGGTCAAGGCGAGGAGGCTCGTCGACACCTTCTACGTATGCAGAGGCCTGTTGCGGTGCCTGCTCTGCTGCCAACGTTGCTCCTGCCTTTACTCTCTCCTCCTGCAGGCAGAGGTTCTAACACTCGGCAGGACATGGTGATACGCCGGCGGCACTTCAAGTACATACACAAATTCTTGATCCAGGGGATCGACCTGAACAGGGAGATGGTAGAATCGTCTTCCGTCGCGCTGCAGCTGCTGACTCGCGGAGTGTCAGACCTCGGAAGATCTGAGCAAGACTGTCGCAGACTCCAAGTTCGGCCATCTCATCCGCACCAAGTGCACGGTGCTGCACCTTGCTGCAGCACTAGGGTGAAGGGAGGCTTGACGTCATCAGGAGAGGACTGATGGTTGTTCAAGGTACAACCGCACGTGCGCAAGGCTGATTGATCTCGGGGCAGAAGTCCATGCAGCTGTATGGTTTGCTGGACCCCTTTCAGACGGTCTCACTCTAAGCAGGACAGCACAGGGGCCCTTCCGATCCACTACGCTGCTGGAGGAGGGAAGGTGGACACTTGTAGCCTGTACAGCACCCAGCTAGTTGTTTGACGGATTGTTCGGAGATGTAAGTGTTGTGCAGGTTGGTCTATCATGGAAGTCTTGCAGACGTCAACCATGCTACAACCAACGGCCTTACACCGCTACACTACGGTAGTGAATCACCCCGCCCTTCCCTGCCTCATCCCTTGCCTTGGGCAGCTGCGACTAGTGGGTACGTGGGAGCGACGTTCCGCCTGCTGCAACTCGGGGCAGACGTTTATAAGCGCACGAGCGATGGCAAGACGGCATATGATGTTGACGGATGCTGCGAGTTTGCGGGCCCGACTTTGACATGCTCACAGATCGCGTTCCGGCAGGGATCGAAGCACGTCTGCTACCTGCTCCAATGCTGGATCCTCCAGTATGGCATGGACCTCCGGGCAGCGAGTGAGCAAAACTGCCTCCTATCACTCCGAACCTCTGACGACAGGCAAGGGAGCGAAACGGCGGGTGGAGTCTTCTACCACGGAGCTGGCAACTTCTCAATCCCTCCCTGCATAAGGAGCCCGGCACACGCTACTGCAGAGGCGTTCATCAAGAGCTTGAGCGCGTGCCCAGCTGTACCTCTCGCCTTCTCGCGTTTTCACCGTGATGGCGTATGGCAGGACAACCTTCCCAACGCTCCAGCTGCGGTGGAGCAGCCCGTGCACCCGCACGTCAGTAGGCCCTCGTTCCAGCCCCGTCCGGGAGTGTTGGTCATATTGCTGAGCTCCCTCCTTCCATCATCTCACCGCTCGCGCGCAGGTACCGTACAAGATCATCATGAAGCGACTTCCGTACAGCATGCAGGTGGGTTGCTGGCATGCGGGCGGTGCTGCGGTGGGAGTGAAGAGCGTTTGAACGCAGGAGGAAGAGCTGAAGGCGCTGTTCCAGACAAACAGCCTGCCCGAGCCCAAGAAGATCTCCTTCCTCCGTGCGATCAGGCCTTGTTCGCTCCTCTGCTCCTGCTTATATTCCTGCTGCAGGAAACCCGGACAAGACGCACTTCTCCATGGCCTTCGTGGAAATGCAGAACGAGGAACAGGCTTCACGCGCTATTGCTGCCCTCAACAACATCATTGTGCTCCCCTTTCTGCTCTCATCCTCCTCCTCCTCACTCTCAGCCCCAGGTCAACGACCCCGACGATCCAAGGTGGCCGAAGCGTCTCGAGGTTAACTACACTCTCCTCTCACTCTCCCCTCCTCCTCCTCCTCCTCCTCTCCCTCCTCGCCCTCACCTTCCCGCCTCCCGCCTCCCGCCTCCCCCAAGTTGGCTACCCCCTCCTCCTAGTGCACCAAGGGAAGAACTGGGCTGAGCAGGAGAGGTCCAGGTGTCGAAGTGCTACGACGTAAGGAAGAAACCGCCGGAGCAGGGAGTGCTGCAGGAGACTGTGGACTATGAGGGAAGGAGGGTTGACCCGTCTCGTCGCCCCAATCAGGTCATACCGCTACTCATTCTCGTTCTCTCCTCAGATCTCAGTCATGCCGCAGGCTGGACGCGGCGGCTTCGGGAGGGGGTCAACGAGCAGCCAGCACAGACCGTCTCCCGGCGGCAGGCTGAACTCCTGGTGGAGAAGCTGACCCGGATCACCAAGTCAACTTATACGCTAGTAGCCATTTCATTACCCGAATAACCAACTGAGGTCACCGTCACTGAAACCCGTTCAAACAAGTTGACAACCGTGCTGCGTCGGACCCGGCGATCCGATGATCAAACCGAGTCACTGCGGCGGGTGACTCGGACCGGCACCGTGCTGCGGCTGCCACCGTGGCACGGTCGCCCGGCCGGCGCCCGGCCCGGCCGGCGGGCCGCCGGAGTCGCCATGTTGACTCTTCAGTGAAGCGGGCGCCCCTGCCGCTCAGCCTTCAGGCCCGCCGTGTCCGATTGGCGCCCCGCCCCCGGGCGGCCCCCCACAGCGAGGCGGGCCGGGCGCCGCGTGCCAGACTCCGCGGCCCGCCGTGACTGAGTCCCCGGACTCCGGGAGTCCGAACTTCAGTGCTGTCCAAGCCTCCCCGGATCGGAAGTTGCAAACGTCGTGACCGGCGGTCACGCTCGGACTGAGTGCCGCTGACGGACTCAGTGATGCTGATCGGACGGGCTCAGCCTCCGCCCCGCATCATGGCATACCGTACGGCGTCACGGAGAACGCGGGCGCGGCGCGGCGGCGCGCCCGGCGTGGCCGGCCCGGCCTCCGGGCTTCAACTAAGTTCCCGGCGTCAGCGGCCTGGCACGCACGGTGATCGGACCCGGCCGGGCGGCTGACGAAATACAAGTTTGTTAGACTTGTACTCACGGTCCAAAGTCACGCAGACGTCACATCGACCTTAGTTGTAACAAGACAGTTTTTGCTCAAGACCGAGTTTAATGCACACAAATCCAGAATTGAGGAGCACATGAGAGATAGACTGTATGCTAGGATGTGAAACCCAAGCATCCAGACATGAGAGGACCGAGGCTTCAAGGCTTAGCAAGACGGCTAGGAAAGCCCCCCTCTTCGTCCCACACGCCGCTACATCCGGCGTCCGCCTTGCCACGTAAGTCGTCTTGGTTTACAGGAGAGTTTTTGTTAACTCGGCGCTATCTGACTGGCACGGCTGGCATACGTTCCATCGGATGATCAGCGGCACCGTGCCACCCGCCCGGCTCGTCCCGGGACCGTCAGTCCCGGGCCCGGCCCGTCGGTACTGTAGTCACGCGAGTCGGCCGTACGGTAACGCCGGTTCTACCGTACGGAGCCTCGGAGTCTGCCAGTCACTGAGTTGAGTCACACGGTCGACGGTCGGACGCCCGGCTATCCAACCTTGCCGGGTGACCGGTGACTGAGTTCGAGTCAGGCTAGCCCGGGGCCCGGGACGGTGTCAGTATTCGGCTCAGTGGCTGCCCCTCTTTGAGACATGATAATTGTATGAATGAGGCGGACTTGTTAAGTCATTTCCACAGTCCGCCAGCCCACCCCTGTTGACTATGATCCTCTATTGATTCACCACCGGTGATTCAGAAGTGAGTACCCCTGAATTTTGAATCAAATGGATAGTTTTCTAATTATGTCGAAATGTTCTTGAATATTTATAAGTATTACTCAGAATATTTGAAAAATTGATTCAAGTTTACCGCTGTATGAACCCTCTACCCCATCAACATCAACCCGCACCCACCTCAAGTTCACATGATGCACTGACAACCCGTACCATTCATACTGAACCTGATAACCCTTCGTGTCAGGAGCCAAAAATCATGGGTGGGGTATATGACCCGACCCACACAAGGAATATGTAAAATGTAACGAGCGGCAGGGTGGTATGATGAAAAGTGGGATCGCGGTGGGTGGGGTATGCCGGCGATGCGAGGCTAGAATGCGATGTGGATGGCATGGAGGCGGAGGCGGAGGAGGAAGGAGAGAGGACGAGGAGGAGAAGGCGCTTGCAGTCGATCCCTCCCTTGGGACATGCAAGCTCCTACCTTCTCGTGCTCACTCGGCCGCGACATAGCCGACTCCCGGCCATCAACTCGCTCGCGACTCCTCGCAAACATTTTTCGCGGCCGGCGACTGCTCGCAGCGGTCACCGTGCTTGCTCTGATCTCCCCGCCAGTCAGAGCCGGACCTTGCTTAGATTACCTCCCAGCCCTGCCAAATGCCAGCAACAGCTCCTGCATGTGCCCTGCCGGGTTCGGAGCGGTCGTTGACGGCAACAATCAAACTTCATGCGAAGCATGTCAGGAAGGGAAGTATCGGCTGGCGGCAGGGACAGGGCAGTGCATAGACTGCCCTCCTCACAGCTGGTCTGCGGGCGGAAACTCTTCGTGCCAGTGCAATGCAGGAGCAGAACCAGGGGAAATGGGCTCCTGCCTCCTGTGCGCTCCTGGCAAGTACAAAGAAATCACTGGCAATGGGAGCTGCAGTCGCTGCGAATTGAGCTCTTACTCGAACCAGGAGGGTGCAACAGCATGCTCAGCCTGCCCTTCGAGGACGAGCTCGTGGGTGGACGGCTCGACCTGCGTGTGTAACCCTGGTTTCTTCGGGATCAGCAGCTGCTTCCGATGTTTCCCGGGGAAGTTCTCCAGGGAGCATGCTTCCACCACATGCTCCTCTTGCCCTGCAGGGACCTTTTCCACTGGATCTGCTTCAGCATGCACAGCGTGCAATGCGGGAAAGTTCTCCACAGGGGACACTGATAGATGCTTTTCCTGCGCCGCTGGTACGTACTCTGAGGTGGTGGGCACGTCAGTATGCTCGCACTGCCCTGCTGGAACTTACTCGGAGGCGCTGGGCGTTTCGAACTCTTCTTCATGCTACATGTGTTCTCCAGGATCGTTCTCGTTGGCAGGCTCGACTTCCTGCTCTCTGTGCGGTGCAGGAACGTTCGCTGAACAGCAAGGCACGTCAAGCTGTCACGCTTGTGATGAAGGGACGTACCTGGCAACGGTGGGAGCAGATAGCCAGAGCGCGTGCTTGATATGCTCTGACCCGTTCTCAACTTCCCTCCAAGGCAGCACGAACGCTACCGACTGCGTCTGCATCAAGGGATACACCTTGATCAACGGCATCTGTTCCCCCTGCCCCCCGGGGACGTACAAGGACTTCAACGGCACGGGCGCTTGCTTGCTCTGCCCGTATGCGAAGTTCTCCAACGAGAGCGGCCTGAGCAGCATGCAGTCCTGTCAGAGCTGTCCCTTTGGGTCAGTGAGCGAGGAGGGGAGCACCACCGTGGAGCAGTGCAGGTGCGACCGGGGTTACGAGAACCTCAACGGCACGTGCTCGGCGTGCAAAAAGGGATACAGCAAGCGAGAAGTCAATGACACTCTGTGTACGCCGTGCGAGGCCGGGTCGTACGGGCCGCAGGAGGCGATGCAGGAGTGTCTGCTGTGCCCCAACCACACTTACTCGGGGGTTGTGGGCTCTTCCAACCTTTCTGACTGCAACCTGTGTCCTGCCAACTCAACCTCCAACATGGGCAGCAGGGTGTTGTCAGACTGTATTTGTAGCGATCAGCATTTTTTGCGGGATGGAGTTTGCGTCTCATGCATAGACTGTGACTACAGGAACTCAATACACAGGCGGAGCGGCGGGGGCCGGGGGCCCTGCCTGCCCTGTCCTTACGGGAACCAGGACAAGTTTGCGGGGCAAGGGCCGATGCCGATGGGAAGGTGCAATGGGAGCCTGGGCGGCTACGATTTTCAATATGCGTGGATTGATAGCGATGCGAGGATAACTTGGGGAACGGAGCTCAACGTCGTGGCTGGCCAAGAGAACGCGACTGAGTTCTTCACAGGCTTCCCTTACCAAGAGGTGAACGTGACGCCCCTCCTTCCTCCTCCCTGTCCTCTGCGTCTTCCCCTTCCCCTTCCCCTCCTTCCCTCCTCCGCTTCTGATGCTCCTGCCGCAGGCCGTGATGCCGGATGGGAAGATTGACGAGTGTGTGACCAACTGCTCGGAGGGATGGAGGTGGCTGTCAGCCTCGGACTGGCACGCGGCCTGCCTCCTGTGGTTCCCGGCCTCCCGCTGCTCTGCCTCGGCGTTCCCGAAGGTCCAAGTGAGAGCCTTCGCGCGCAGCGACATGAAGCAGGAGGGAGAGCTGTACAAGGCCGGGGACCTCCTGGGGTCAAGGGTAGATGGATATTCTTTCGGAGGATGCTGGCCTTGTACAGCCCTGACCTGTCCTCCCGGGCATCAAGGTGTAAATATTTGTCCCTCCAGGAGGTAAGCAGCTTCTGTTCCTCTGACCTGGCATGACGCACAGCGCAGGGCTGGAGGAGAGAGTCAAGAGGACTTGAGCAGCTGCTCTCCCTGCCCGGCAGGGACTATCAAGAGCTCCTATGGGCCATCGCTCTGCTCCCCCACGCTATGACGTCGCCGAAGCCAAGTGTTGAAGCTCAACTCACTGCATGTAATGTAATGAAGTTTATTCCATGATTTCCCCATCTGTTGTCCTGCTCTTGGACATTCACGTTTATCTGACCTGCCGGAATCATTCATGATATCTTTGCGGTTGTAACCCTTTCCACTTTCCACACTCCTCCTTGCCTCATGTCATCACTCTCTCAATCTATTCCCTCCTCTTGCCCTCTATTTCTTCAGAGAGTTTCATGGCCATTTTCTGTTAATCAATTGCTGTTGGCCCTGATTAACCACCGAGCTCATCATCAAGCAACAGGCTTGTCTTGCTGTTAGCTGTTTCCCCTTCGACACTCCCCAACATCTTGAACGCACGAGATTTGCTCTTTGTATCCCCTCAGTCTCTGTCTGGTGACCTTAAAGGGCTCTTGATTTCAGCTCGTCCTCGCTGGACAGAAAATCTTCGTGCGTCTTCTTCCAATGGCGATCAGCCTGCGCTTGAGTGAGGAGGAGGGAGGAGACAAGGTCGCAGCAACAGCTCCTTACATCTGCCTCGTCCATTTTAGCCAGCATGAGCTTCAGGCCCATGCTCCCATCATACAGAGAGAGCTGCAGGCACCAGTCAAGTACGCCTCATCCTCTCAGCAGCTCAGGATCGTCAGCAGCACGAGGACTGACCTCGTCGAGATCGTGGGAGGGGATGCGGATGACTGGGGCAGCGCGGCTGGACCTGGGATAGACTGAGTTCCACAAGGTCGAAGGCGAGGATGCAGACAACCTGTAGAGGAGGATGAACCAGGGCATCGAGGCCACGACCCCACCGCCGAGGGTGTCGGCGAGGAGGGTGGAGATGTCGGACATGGCAAGCTTGTCGGCGAAGGTGAGGGTCCTTTCGACGTACTCCTCCTCCATGATCCGGATACGAACGAGTTCCTTCTCCTCAAGCAGCTCGTCGATCTGTTCCAGCACCCGCTCGAAGGGCAGGGATGCGTCCAGTCCGATCTCGGCAAGGGCTCCCGTCCTCTCCTGCTCATCATCACAGACAGCATGCGATGGGACCAGTGAGACTGTCCACCTGCTCTTCAGCTAGCTCGAGCAAGTACTGCTTCTCTTGCGCTGTCAGAGGCGCCACAGGCTGCAGCACGTCAACCTTCTGAACCCCATGGTACCATGAGATGCTCACCCGGAAGCTCAACAACGCGATCTCCCCATCCACCAGGATCCTCTCGTCGCTGCGGGACAGTCAGGGTTGAGTTGAGCAGGAAGGAGCAGGCTTCACCAAGCTCTGATCCCAACGACAGGTACCGTAAGGTTCATCCCCTCATGCTTGCTGTCTCCTGCCATGCCAGCCTTCAAGGAACGATCGAATGAAGGAGCTCATGGCTACCTGGTGCGATCAGGGAGTCTTCAGAGTTGACCACAACCATCGCCAGACCCCCAGCGGCTGCGATCCTGTTCGCCTTGTCGACAAAGGTTGAGGAGGAACCAGAGGAAGAGCCTCTCCGAACCACCACGATCTTCCCACGGATGCTGCAAGGAACGAGGAGGAGTTGGAAGGAGCAGTGGTACAGTGCTATCAAACCGACTCACCTCTCAGCATTCCGCAAGTGTTGGTCGGCAAACAGCGGATCAGCATGGATGACTTCTGCCTCCACGTCGTCGTACATCCCAAACGTCGCGCGAATGAACTCAATCCTCCCATTCTGACAGTAGATGCAGTCCTTTGACAACGACTCGAGGCTCAGCTCGGGATCTAACCATGTCCCTTCCTCGTCGCTCGAGTCCGTCGCTCCCAAGCTCGTCCGGAACTTCCTCAGCTGCGCCTTTTCCTCGCATGCCGGGGTCACGGAAGGGAAAACGTTCCCTGTGAAGTGTCGCTCCTCCAGCACTGCACCCTTCCAACACAAACTTCGGCGCAGAAGTTGTACAGCACTGCCCTTCCATGCTCTGGAGGAGGGAAGTTGCGATGGGGCCAGTCCATGTAGCACATGTGTCTTCATCACGCAGGGATGACGAGCATGCAGGACGAAGCCAACATGGCATCGTCTTGATGCTGCACTGTCTCGAAACCCGTCCGCGGCATCCTGGAGGTTGAGCAGAACTGCGCAAGCAAGCAGCATTGCCCGTCTCCTAACCATCTGCAATGCACCTCAGTTCGTTCCTCGATCAACCACATGGATCATGACAGTACACATGAGGTGGAGTTTTACGGACAAACAGATAGTTGAGACGAAGCAGAGATGCGAGGGGGGCAGGGTTGTGTAAAGCAGGATACATCAGCATAATGTAGCTGTGGTGCATTCACAGCGAGGAAATCTACAGAAATTCTGCACGACATCACTGCTTCTTCGGATAGCAAGTTTCGAGCATATTTCAATTCTGTCCTCTTCCTCCACATGAATTTCCTAATCACCATGTTCAACAATTCAATCTTGGCTGCCTCCGGTCTGGCCCGCTGCCCTCCGGGCAGCACAAACTCTAGGACAGCATAGTTCCCATGATTCCATCATGAAAAAGGAAGGGCTCTTGGCACGATCTTTCTCTTTTCCTACCATCGTCCTTTGCCTGTCGCATCATATCCTGCTCCCAAGCGCCTATTCTGTCCCTCCCCTCCCGCCTGCATTATTGCGTGGTGAGCTACGATTTACGTCCGATGGTGGTTTTCTGGTGAACGCATTCAACTCCGACAAATTCATGGGGTTCTATCTAAATTTGAAAACTTATATCTAAATATGCAAGGAAATAATTCTTCACATTTGAACTTTTGGAGAAATCTATGAAATTTTAAAAACATTCTGGTGTTCATGGAAGAAAGACGATGAGCCCTGTGAAAATACATCCTAGGGCCGCAACGGGGGCAGGGGGGGTCCCGTGCAACCTGTGGGTCAGTGTATCTAAAGATAGGGGGTGGTAATAGGGGGCAAGATATAGGTGGGCAGGGTAGTGGCTGTCCCATCTGATTGGAAAGAGAGGTAGGGTGGGGTACTTCGAGATGGTAACCCACCGATGAAGCCAGGAAAACCACCCCTCCCCGTCACAAAATAGTTTGCAGCAAACAACACAGGGGTGGTGGTAGCCTCCGGGCACCGGGGTGATCGGACCAGGCCCGCGACTCTTGGCCGACTCCGGGCCCGGTCCGGAGTCACGAGTCTGTACGGTGAGTCCGGGCCCATCAGCCGGGCCGAGACTCTCCCAGAGTCCCGGAGTCCCGGAGCCCGGAGTCGGAGTCCGGTCGGAACGGTCCGGCCGACTGATGTACGGTCCGACCATCCGTGTGGCAGGGTCAAGGGCCTCCTCGACTCTCCTGATTGTCCTCGTACTAATCCTTAACTTAACTTTGAGTAAAGGTCCTTTGAGTACTAGTAACTTATAAACTTGTCCGGGCCGGCCGCGCGGTCCGGCTGATCCGATCCGATCCGATCAGGATAGTGACCGCAGCCTTCCGAACGACGCCGGCCCGCCGGTTCGCGCCGCGGCGGCGAGTCCGATCGCGGCGGCCAGACTGACCGCCCGGTGTCACTGTGTACCGTCTCTTTTTACTCAAAGTTAAGTTAAACGTACCGTGACTGCCGTACTTCATTGTACTGATTTTTAACTTAAAACTTTGAGTGAACGATTAGTGAACTCATTTCCTGTACTACGTGACTTTACTCAAAGTAAAGTTAAAAATTAGTACCAGCTTAGTAACCAGCGTGTAGCAGCGGTACAGGCGGGGGTAGTGCTGATTACACCCCTTCAAAGACTCATGTGGTACCCTATTATTACAGGTGAAAGACAGGGGTGTATGAAGGCAGGGGGGAACCGGAAGGGGGTGGCATTGAATGGGGGTAGGAGCAGGTTTGTTCGGACATGGCAGGTGCAACGATGGAAGATAGAAACGTGACGATGACGACGATGAGAGGATGGAGGAGGAGGAGGAGGAGAGGAGGAGAGAGGACACGATGGAAGGATGAGCAGGAGTAGGAGGAATGGCACGGGAGAGATGGGATTGGATTGGATGGGATGGGATGAAGGGAGTGCTGTGCATGTGATCATGCGGTAAGACGAGATAAGACGAAAAGAGACATGGTTGATTCGGGGCAAGGATGAGATAACCATGACGAGACGAAATCATTCTGGTATAAGATCAGCAGGCAACACCTTGATCTGCTCTTTCTGAAAGGAATTGTCAGGCTTTGCTATCATGAGACCATACAAATGTACAGCAGTGTATTGTTGTGTTGATAAAAAAGAGTAGAATTACCAGACTACCTTTGTATTGAACGATGTAAGAGATTTCATTTTCATGGATAGATGCCATTCCCACCAGCAGCACGAGATAGAAGGGGAGGGATGTAGGAAGGCTTGTAGTCTTGGTTGACCCAAGGTAGCATTGCGACATCCAGTGAAACGTGTGATGCCGCAGATAAGCCATGGAGAAGGTTCGCGAATTGATAGTCTCTCGTCCGATCCTCATGCTGGTGAGCCTATCCTTGCTGCTGTGTCGCTGCCATGGTTACAGTCTACTGCTCTTGCTCTCCCTTCTGACCCACCTCCGCCTCCCTCCTATTCTCTACACTTGCACGCAGCAGCTGATGTCGGATTCTTGCATTTTCATAACGTTACATTCTGGCAGGGGTTGACGAACGCTACAACGGCGTTTGTTGGAATCTATCTGCATGCGAGGAAGGAAGGAGGAATCAAGAAGGTTTCTCGGCAGAGAAAGTTAGAGCACTTGTTTGTAATTTTGTCCACAGCTGCTGTACCGATGGATCTTCTCAATTTCTTTCGCTGCTCTCAAGGTTGTAGCCAAGGATACTGTAGATGCGGAGAGGAACAAGATGAAGGCGAAGACAAGGTGCGGGCAGTGTGTTGTTTGGTCGTGAAGCCTTGCTGATGTTTGCCACGGCGAAAACCAGGGAGATGGTTTTGAAGCACGTGGAAGGAGAAAGATATCAGGTGCTTCCTGCTAAGGGCATGCCAAAGGTGATAAAATCCCCTCCTTGTGTTCATCTCTCGCCATGCAAGCTTGAATGCTGGCTGATTGATATTGGCAGGATAAGGTCATAAAGCTTCTGAAGGTGATTCTGACAAAGCAGAAGAAGTCGAGGAAAGGAGGAGGAGGAGGAGGAGGAGGAGGAGGAGGAGGAGGAGGAGGAGGAGGAGGAGGAGGGGGGATCCGAAAGGGAGAGGTGCACTTTGAAAGAGGCCTGGGAGGGACTGTGGTGGCTCAGCAGAACTATGAAAGTGTTTGCAGCAGATTATGATGAAGGGATTGAGATTGACATGGTGGTCTGAACTTGCACGCAGGACATCTCAGGGAAGGAGACGAAGTGGAGGGATGGGATGATTTCAGGCACAGTGTATGATTCTGACCTTGTTTGCTGCCTGTTTCCTTTCTTACTGTTGTGAAGTTATCACGGAGGCGACGATACAACCCAAGTGATCTCGGCAGCTTTCTCTGAATTTGCCGTCTCGAATGTGAGGAGGAGGGGAAAGGGGTTGGCCTGTTCTGCTCTCACCCTACATTCAGCCGCTGCATCCCGACGTGTTTCCGAGCATTCGCAAGATGGAGGCGGAGGTGGGGCGGATGGAGGCGAGGCCTTGTTCGTCTGCTGCCTCTGACGTCTAGCGCACGAGAAGATTGTGCAGATGTGCTGTGAAATTTTCCGAGGAGACGAGAACTGCTGCGGGACGATGACGAGTGGAGGAACGGAGAGCATTGTCATGGCAGTCAAGACGTACCGCGACTGGTGAGGAGGGGTGTGGAGAGGGTAGAGGGCGGGGGGGCATGCCGACTCCTCGTAGTGTTTAGACCTGCTGAAAACTTCCTTCCCTGTTGAAAATCTTGGTCTTCCTTGCTTGTTTGTTCGTCTTGCACTCTCATGTGTCCTTCACTGATTCGTTGGAATGATCAGGGCCAAGGACACGAAAGGGATCGAATACCCAGAGCTCATCAAGCCCGTCAGTGCGCACGCCGGTATGCCATGACACCAGCGTTGCAAAGTTTGTCTTGTTCTCATGGCAAGGTTTGCAGCTTTCGACAAAGCATGTCACTATCTTGGAGTCAAGATGATTGAGGTCGTGAATGTACTACATTTTCTGGCCTCCTACTAGGATCAAGTGCTATTGTTTCAGTTGTTGTTGTAATTCCATTCCCATTTTCCGAATGGACTCTCTTGTCTTGTTTTGTGCTGTTCAAACCCTTGGAGTCTCAGCTCAGAAGCTGCAATCTCTCACACAAACTTGGATGGTGTCCCAACAGGTCCCTGTGGATCCAGTTACCTTCAAGGTGGAAATCTCGGCTGTGAGTGGCTCGATTCCTCTTGTCTGCAAGACGAAGTTACCGTTGAGACGTCACCAGATCTCCAAGGCTGTCAACCGCAACACGATCGTCATCGTCGCATCGGGTGAAGGCTCCTTCCCGTCCATGCCCTTCTGACGTGTCATCCATCGTCCAACAGCCATCACCTACCCGCAAGGTGTCATGGACGACATTCCTGCTATTGCCAAGATAGCCTTGTCCGCTAGGTGAATCTGTCTTGTCTTGTATTGGTTGTCCTGTCCTGTCCTGTCCTGTCCTGTCCTGTCTTGTTGTACCAACTCAACTTCGATGTCAGATGCGGTTTGCACGTTGACAACTGTCTCGGAAGTCTCTTGCTTCCCTTCCTTCCTGCCGCCGGCTACTCCAGGCCTCCGTTTGACTTCTCCGTAGAGGGAGTGACAAGGTTGTAGCACTTGAGGAGGAGGAGGAGGGGGGGGGGGGGGGGGAGGGCGAGCAGGAGGACCAGCAGGAGACCGAGAAGGCGGAGAAGGGAAAGAAGAAGGAAGAGAAGGAGTAGGAGGGTGGGACAGGAGGAGGGGGGAGAGGAGGGGGGAGGAGAGGAGGAGAGATGTGGAGGAAGGACTGACATGCGACCAAGTCTTTCAGCAGACACTCACAAGTACGGGTTTGCTCCGAAAGGGAGCTCGGTCATCCTGTACCGCACACACGAGTTGAGGCACTTCCAGGTTAGGGGGGAAAGTCGATGACGAGGGCCGACGAGAACGATGAGATGGTAGATGAGATGGTAGAGGGGAAGAGAGGAGTGCGAGGAGGACGAGGAGGAAGAGGAGGAGGAGGAAGGAAGGAGGATGGGGAGTCAGTGGTGAAGCAGGAACAATGGAAGCGTGAGCAAGAAAGGCATGACAAGCAGGGGCAGGGGCAGGGGCAGGAGCAGGAGCAGGACGAGCAGGAGCAGGAGCAGGATGAATCAAAGGAGCTTACCTGTGGATTGTTGCAGTACTTCGTTGCTGCTGATTGGACCGGGGGAATTTATGCAACTCCTTCCTTGGCTGGTTCGAGATCAGGAGCAATCATAGCAGGTGAGCAATACAAAGCATGATGGAGATGGGTATGATGATGGAAACGATAATGATGGATGATGACGACGACAACGATGATGGATAGCTGTTTGATCTTTCTGCAAGGGACCTGGGCTGCGATGATGTACATGGGAAAAGAAGGGTGAGCTAAACCTACATGTCTTTGCATATCTCATTCACCTCGCAGGTACATCTCAGCAGCTCAGAGCATCATGCAAGTCACCCACAAGATCGCTCATGGCATCATGCAGATAGCGCAATTGAAGCTTCTAGGTTCCTGCCGCCTGCCTCCTGCCGCCTGCCTCCTGCTTCTGCGTCCTACCTTCTTGACCTGGCCTGCTTCTATTTCCTGATCCAAATGTTCCCCTCCCCTTTGTCCTCATCCCCCCCCCCCCTTCCCCCCCCTCCCTTTCCCCTCCTTTCTTAATCCTCCATCGACAGGCTCGCCGGATATGAGCGTTGTGTGTTTCACTTCCAACAAGAGCTCCTTGAACATCTTCAATGTTGGCGACGCCATGTCCTCTAGGTATATCGCAGCTCCTCCTCCTCCTTCCTATCTTCTCCTTACTCCTCTCTCCTCCTCTCTCCTCCTCCTCCTCCTCCTCCTCCTCCTCCTCCTCCTCCTCCTCCTCATGCTCTCCTTCCGCTTCCAAAGGCTTCACTTCTGTCGTCTGCGTGTTCTCCCGGCTTTTTTCTCAGCTCTTCTTCAGTTCCTTCTCTCCTCCTCTCTGAGGTCCATCCTGCTAGTCGTCCATTCCCTTCCTTTCCAATCCCATCCGCAAGCTCGTCGCTTCCATCATCCATCCTTCACCTTATCCTTGTTCTCGTTTTCCTCTTCATCTTCATCGTGTACATACTCGTGCCGGCAGCTTGCTGACCTTGACGCCATCTTCTTGTCCTGACAGGGGCTGGTCGCTCTCTATCCTCCAGTTCCCTGCCTCTATCCACCTCTGCGTGACCAACGTGCACACTAAGGGAAAGGTAATCGTCGTCGTCGTCCTCCTCCTCCTCCTCCTCCTCCTCCTCCTCCTCCTCCTCCTGCTCTTGCTGCTCCTGCTCCTTTCATCCTACTCCGCCTCCTCCTCCTGTTGTCATCCACCTCTACCGCATGTACTTCTTTCTCCTTCCTCTTTGCATTTCCCTCTCCGCTTGTCTCGCTCTCTTGCCTGCTCCGCCATGCCATCTTCTTGCATACTTCACCAATCGTTCCTCTTCCTCTTCCCCCGATCTTCCATGCGCTGCAATGCTCCTGCTCAACCCTCTTGCCTAGGTGGCTGAAAAATTCCTCGAGGACCTCCAGGCATCTATCGTAGAAGTAGAGACTGTAATGCTCTCTGATCCTCGTCCTCGTCCTCCTCCTCCTCGTCCTCGTTTTCCACCTCCTCCACCTCCTCGTCCTCGTCCCCTTCTCCCCTTGTCTCTCTCCCTCTTTTGCCTTCTTGCTCTTTCAAATCGTCTTTCCTTGCGACTGACTGAGAGCATTTCTCCTCAAGGCGGAACCTGGAAAGTTCAAGGATGGGATGGGAGCGATATACGGCATGGCAGGTCAGGAGGAGGAGGTGGTGGAGCAGGAGCAGGAGCAGGAGCAGGAGCAGGAGGAAGGATGTTCGAGCTGTCTCATGTTTACACAGAGAGCATTCCGGACCGGAGTTTGGTGGATTCCATCGCCAAGGACTACATCGATGCGCTCTATGCTGCATGACAGAGAGCGCAGCTGGACCAAAACGACACAGGCACAGGAAGTAGAAGAATCTCAAACCTAATGACTTGACTGTACCTGAGCATGTTGTTTGACGATGAAGGAGCAATCAAGGGGAGTAGGGGCCCCACTAGAGTTCTAAAGTTAAACGAGTGTGAAGACTATAAGACACGGGCAGTCGTTCTTGCATGTTCCACATGAATGAGTAGAGCCGTCATGATTCTCTCCGCAGGCATCAACGGAGTATAGAAAGACTAAGGCAGACGGCACAAATGCACTGACTGAGTACAGGAAGGTAGAAACAGACGATACTGATGCAGCATCAGCATCAGCATCAGCCTCGTCCTCCGTGCGTTGCAGTTCACACGGTTTACTATAGAAACAGGGGGTTTCATATCACACTATGATTTACAGGCAGGCGGGTTGAGAGCTTCTCAACAAACTCGTACAGCAGATCCGGGATGACGGCATGACGTGACGGCCAAGAAAAAATATCCAAACTCTGCGATGCAGCGCGTGAATACGAGCAAGCATCGCTATGACAACTTCCTACCAGATCGGCAACGGGAACTCGAAGTCCACCTGGTCCAGCGACCACGACGACCCTCCGTCGGGGAGGATCTCGTAGATCTCGAGCCCAGGGGCTTCGGAGGAGTAGCAGTCCGAGCTGGAGGAAGTCAGCGGGCTGCTCTCGTCCTTGGTGTCGACCCACTCATCCGGCTTGATGTCCGTCCATGCCTGAAGGAACGCCCCCAGCTTCTGGTGGGCCAGATTCTCCTCCTTCACACAGGACACCTCTGCCTCCTTGGGCTGCTCGATCAGTTCCTTGCCCTGCTCTGTCGACTCGTCGTTGATGATGAAGCTCTGCACTGCTTGCTCCTCCTCATCATGGCTCTCTTCGGTGGGATGCACGTCGGCGCTGGGGGACTCGATAGGGGAGTCCTTGCACGCCTTGTTGCAGCACCGGCTCTCACGGAAGGGCCAGCGCATGATCCCAAGTTTTCTACACGCCTTTTTTATCGCAGTTGCACACACGCCAAGATGCTTGGCGGCCTTGTGCAGAGGAAGGTCGAAGTAATGCTCCAAGAGCTCGGGCTGAAGAAGGGGAATCAGCAACATGGTCTAAACAAGGTTGTGTAATCTCACCGTGATCAGCACAGGGTTCGCTCCTCGTTGGAGCTCTCCTGCCTTTCTCCTCGGAAAGATGATGGGACCAGCTTTGTTCCTCCTCGACTTGAGCGACGGCTGCCCAAAGACGGGCACCGGGTTTGTTGCGCAACTGCTCATGTAATCCTGCACGCCACTGCCGTACATGCTCCGCGTCTTGTCTGACGGCATCATGAACCCATCGTACCCCATGCACATGTAGGAGTGTCTCGCGTCCAGAGGCAACCCAGCGTTGACCCAGTCGTTCCACCTTTGATTACAGGACTGCATTTTACACGCTTCGGAAGGGGGGTGGGGCAATTTTTGTAGTTTTGCTTCAAGGAAGTGTTCTTATTGACTGGAGGAGAGCGGGAGAGAGAGTTTGTCTTGAGAGATGAAGGATTGATGCAGATTAGCAGCAAGAGAGAGGGAGTATGCGCTCGATCTGAAAACGCGGAGTGCGCGTAGCAGATGAGGTGTATCCTATCGACTTAGCAAGTCTGAGAGCGAGCAGTGAGCAGCAGGGGATCAGGGAGGGAGGAAGTGAGGGGAAGAGAGGGACAGGAAGGATAGGCAGAAGAAGGAAAGCTCGGGTAGTTGTATCAGCAAGTTCTCTTGCTCAGCTTGCCTTGCGTGGATGCTGCGATTTCTGAATCTCCCCTTTCCTTGCTCCAGACAAAAGAAAGCCTGGTCCCCTCCCACCCCCTACCCCCCATGGAAATTCACCCCCGCGGATGTCCATGGTACCCCGTATCTTGCGAATCTAGGAAAGATGCCGCTGTCATCACCCCACCCCCCTTGAAATTCATAATTCAAAAATGTGGGGAGTAGCTGATTTTTAACATCTAAATTTGAACATTTGATTGCCTTCAAGTTTCAGCATTCCCAAACTGTTTCTGTATTTTTGGTCCCCGACTGTGCGCCAATCGTGCTGCAGTCGGATCTGTACGACCCCCACCCACCTTGCTCATCGAGACTGGGTACCCCAACCCTACCAGGTTTCGTGCCATCTATTTTATAGTACACCCACCCTCTTGGAACTTGCCGTGACGAGACCACCCGGACCCTTGCAGAGACTGCACAGGGACACACCGTTGTATCCTACTTATGGTATCTATACTATTGTAACACTTAGTAAATCGAGCACCTTTGCGTGTATAGATTGAGATCTGATCATGGTGTGTTGCCCTCGGATAACAGGGTGGGGGTGGCTGGGTGTTTGGAGGGAGTCGGAGGTTTCAGTGGTGGGTCTGGGGGGTGATCCGGCTGTCACGATACCCCGGATAGGAGGGGGTAGGGATAATTGACTATACCCACGAAAGGGTGGTTGTCTTGTGTAAATTAAGGGTGTCTGAGTGATTGGGGGTAGTTCGACTTCGTTGAATCCCCAGGGGGGTGGGGTGCTGTATTGGGGCACTCTGTCAGATATGGAAAAGAGTACTTTTGATATCAGGATGGCATAGATCAACCGTCTCATCAACCTACCCCTACCCCTCCATGCATCAATAGAATACCCCACCCTACCCCCTAGGTTCATATCCTGCCCAATACAAAAATCACCCCTCTTTTCGAGAACGCACCCCCTGAACACTTTTGTTACCCTTGGAATTTGGAGGGGGTGGATAGAGTCAGGGGGTGCGGAGGTTATCCTCTAACCACCCCGGGGCCCGTTGGAGCAAAGCAGTAGGCGAGCCGAGGAAGTCGGGGGGACTATAAGTGTAGGGGTAGGGGAGCGAAAAGCGGGAAGAGCGAGGGAGAAGGGACATACCCCCTAGCACACATGGGATCCTCTGTTGGCAGATAAGAGTACATATGAAATCAGAGACCATGAAGTACCTAGCTGTACGACTGAGTGAGAAATGGGGGCAGGGGATTGCGGGGCAAGGCTCCGCCCCCCTCCCCTTATCCTCTGTGGGCCTCTAGCAGGGTCAAAGAATCTGTCAGAAAAGTGCAGGTGGAAACCGATGGGGGTGGCCCTCCCCAGGGGTGGGGCTGCGACGAATTAAACAGGGGTAGTACCTTGATGACATTCCGAGGGGGTGGGGTGAACGCAGCAGACATACCTGATGCGAAATGTCACCTTTCTATCAGATACAAGTCACAGGGACTGTCTTTGCTGTGTTCGATACCAGGTCTTTTCGTTTACTGGGCGGTGTTAGATACATCTTTACTTCAGGATGACACTGTGTGGGGTCGGATCGGGTGCAAGTGCGTGACTAGTGCCAGGGTCTTGCGATCAGAGGGTAGGGTGATTTTACCATCATAAGGGAGGTGGGGGGTAATTCCTCATGTGACTGCGAGGCCGGTTATAATACATTTAATTTGTACCGGGGGACGGGAGATAGAGGGGGAGATTGTAGAGGGCAGCCCCTTTGATCACGGTCCTCCTTGAACGTACAGCCGTAGTCGTAACTTAGGTCTAAAGTGATTCCAAGAGGTTGTGTAGCAGCATGAAACAACTCATTTTCATGTCATCCCACAAAGTCTCTCGATGAACAGAAACTATTTCGTATCTCTGTTTAAGTCCACACCGTGAAATTCTCTTTTGTGGCCGGTACTGAACTAAAAACTTGCGACTGCACTAGGTTCCATGCAAGTTGAGAGTCACGAGGCCCCGGGCCAGGGCACCGTGACACCGGGACAGGCACGCCCGGCCGTCGGATCGGATCGGACCGTGATCGGACCTATAGCCTCGGACTCAGATTCGGAGTGCCGCCGCGGCCGGCGGCGGGCGGGGGCCCCGGCGGCGTTCTAACTCATACTAATTGTCCTCGTTCTGATTCTTAACTTGGAGGCTAGTAATCCGATGATCATGGGGTTAAGGCTCAGCACTGAGTACCGTAGTACGATCCGATGATCATTAGTACGGTGTCGGACCGTCCCAAGTCATCAAGTTTCGGGTCATCAAGTCCGTCTCCCGGCTCACTGAGAGGCGGGACCGAGCACAGAGTCACGCCGCCGGGGTCGGGACTCCGGGCCCGGGGACGGGCCCCGGTACTCCCGACGGTCTGGCCGGGCACCGGGTACGTCCGATCATGGCACTGCGGCACCGTGCCGCTGAGTCACGGTGCCGCGGACTCGGGCCGGAGGCTCCGACTCAGAGTCGGAACTGACTTCGTGAGTACTTCAAGACTCCGTGACCGCCGACGGTTTCCGAAGACGCCGTCCGATCGGACTCGGCCCGGCCCGTGCGGCGGTCGCCGGCCCAGGCCCCGGCCGACTCCGAGCCGGCCGCCCGGCGGCCCCCGCCGCCCGCAACCGTTCGGAACGCGGCGTCCGAGGTGACAGTGGCCCGCCGGTTTGCCTTGAAGCGCGGCGCGGCAGCCGCCGCTGGGGAGGGCCGGCCGCCGCGGGCCGAGCCGCCGGACCGCGGCAGCCGCCGGGCGGCGGGCCGGGCCCGGCCGCCGGCGGGGGGCCTGCCAGCCGGGACCGTGACTGGCACGGCCCTGAGTGCGGCCTGCCAGCCTCTGGCCGCGCCGCGGCGGCCGCGCCGGGACGGAGTACGGTCAGCCTGGCAGATCGGACCGGGTCGGCTCACTGGGCCGCGGCGGCGGCGGGCCGCGCCGCAGCGATCGGACCGCCCGGGTACGGGTCACCCGGCCCGGGTCCCGGCGGGCCCGGCCGGCTGAGCGGCGGCGCCGAACTTCGGAATCCGACGGTCCGTCAGTTAGCCCGGCGCCCGGCCCGGCCGCGGACTTCGGACTCCACGGACCGTCTGCCCGGCCCGGCCGCTGCCGGCGCGGAGCGGCCTGGTCCCCGGTGAAGTTCAGTCAGTGCCGGGCCGGCGGCCAGAGTCCGGGCCGGCGGCCCCGGACGGCGGCGTCCGGGCAGTGCCATACACTGAGAGTCGGACGGCTAATGGACAGGAAGGTTTTGGCGGGAAAGGAATCAGGCCTGAAGAGAGGCAGCTAGGGAGAGGGAGACTAGGAGACTAGGAGGAGAGCAGGGGAGGAAGAGAGGGAGAGAGGAGGAGAGGAGGAGAAGAGAGGAGAAGGAGAGACAAAGGTCTGCTTCTCCAGAAGGGAGGAAAGAGAGAGAGAGAGAGCAGGGCAGGAGAAATTGAAGCATGCCAATTAGCAGAAGGAGCGGGAGGAGTGGACATCGGCGCAGAAGAAGAGGTAAGGGCTGGAGCCGATAGCTGACAGGTGATGCCAAAGACATGATGCAAGTTTCTTCCGCTGGGGCCCATAGTGCTAATAAGAACCGGGGAGAGGATCGAAAGATTTGTTAAGGCAGCAGACGCCTGTAGTGAAGAAATGGTTGATGAGAGTCACTTTCATCAGAGCACTCTACTCCATCCTTACCTTGGTTGAACATTCCTTGTGTGTTGTGCATTGGAGCCTTGTTCTTGACTTTCTCTCTCTTTCAAGACGACACCTCGCCATGTCCGACGTGGAAGTCATGGAAGAAGAAGTTCCGTCGATTCCAGGAAATGCGGGAATAGATCCAGTGGTTGCCTTGGAGTGTCCTTGGATTGAGAAGTATCGACCGGAGACGCTGAACGATGTCGTAGCACACAAGGACATTTTGACAACATGTGATCACTCAGTCTTCTTGTCTTGTTCCCGTCTGATCCTGTCGACAGTGGATCGCTTCCTTGAGCAGGACCGCCTCCCTCATCTCCTGCTGTATGGCCCCCCTGGTACAGGAAAGACGTCAACGGTTCTTGCATTGGCCAAAAAGGTGTTTGGTCCCAAGTATAAGGTATGCAAGGATTGTTGTTCCGTCTGAGCCCCACGGGTTCTATCCTTGTGCTATTTTCTTAACCTCGTTGTCGTTGTAGAGTATGACCCTGGAGTTGAACGCGTCGGACGATCGCGGCATCGATGTTGTCAAGAAGGAGATCAAGGATTTTGCTGGAACTAGGACGATCTTTGGGTGATTGCTTGATCTCCTTCTTGACAACACTATTCGCTCGCCCAGCTTAATCGTTCTGTTGTGTAGAACCGGCTTCAAGATGATCATTTTGGACGAGGCCGACAACATGACACAGACTGCTCAGTTTGCGCTTCGAAGAAGTAAGCGTGTTCTGCTATCTCCTCTTGGCTTCTCACACCATCGAAGTTATCGAGAACTACACTGCAAACGCCAGATTCTGCTTAATATGCAACTATGTCAACAAGATCATTCCTGCACTTCAGGTCTGTGATTGCGTTCCCTGCTCTCGACAGTTTGGATCATTCACTAAGAATCGCCTGCAGTCGCGTTGCACTAGATTTCGCTTTTCACCGTTGACATCCGCGGACATTCAGGGCAACCTGGAGAGGATTTTGGACAAAGAGAAGTGATGATTAATTCTTGGTTTGCATCATTCACCCTCTCACACTCGTCTTCAGTATCAAAGCAACCCCAGACGCGTTGAAAGCCGTGGAGAAGATTTCAGGAGGAGACATGCGTAAGTGTCTGAACATCTTACAGGTTCGAGGCTGCTTCATGAAAACATGCGATGTTCATTTTCTACCTGCAGAGCTCGTCAATGGCATCCAAAGAAGTCACTGTCGAGAGTATCTATGAGTGCACCGGAGATCCAAACCCGTCAGACGTAGATCTTACAGCTGTTGTGACGTCATCTGATGTTTGCTGCAGGTGATGTGGATTACCCACTCACTGTGCAACGATTCTTTTGAGGACTGCTACCACAGTGAGTGCAGAAACAGCTGCTCTTGGTTGCCGTACATGTTCTCATGTGTCCTCGTTAGAGATCTTTGAGATTCAGAGGGAGAAGGGTCTCGCCTTGATCGACATCGTGAGAGCCGTACACGAGGTCTGATTTCAATCCCACGGCCGGTGTTTTGCGCTCACTTGTATTCCAGCAAATCATCAAGCACGATCTCCCTTCCGTGCCTTTCTGCAGGCTCTTGGAATCTTTGTCAGACCTCGAGTAATCCCATGCCGTGCAAAGCTCGGAACGCTTTTGACCACTGCTGTACTTCAGGTACAGACTGACGGCGGCGACCAATGAAAAGATTCAACTGGGATCCTTCGTCGGGATGTTTGGGCAGCTCAAAGAAGAGCTGGCCTCTCAACCTTGTAAATAATTGCTATCACAATTTCCCAGTGACTTGAACCGTGAACCATCTCTCCCCGCGGCGGCCGCATGATCATTCGGGCGGCCATCCAAGTCAGGGCGGCGCCGATGCAATGATGAATGGCTGACTCTGTGACTCCACACATGGGCAATGCCATGATGGGCCCACTGGCTACTGTGGTCTCAATGTCCGCCGGGACCGTAAAATTGCGGCCCGCGGCGGCGGGGCCGCCGCCCGGCCACCGGGCCGGGCGGCGACTCGCGGCCCGGAGCGGGCCGGGCGGCCAGTGCCCGGCGTCACGGGCCGATCGGTCGGCCTGGTCACCCGGTCAGGAGCCTGCCCGGACCGACTCGCCGCGGGGGGGCTCAGGCTCGGACCGTACCGTCGGTACTCCAACTTGATGCGGCCGCCACGGTGGTTGCCATGATCCGGGCGACTCGCAGTGACTGATCTCAGTGACGGTACCGTACGGTAGTATCCGATCGGGGCAGGGCCCTTCAACTAGCCACGGCCCGCCAGCCAGTGGCCCCGGCCCGGGCCCAGGGCCGCCGTCGGCGGATCCTGCCCGGCCAGTGCCTTCACTGACCGTACGTCGAGTCGGGTCACTCACTGCCCTGGCAGGCTGACAGTGAGAGTCCTTCGCCGGGTGACTGAAGTGACCGTAGGCGCGGCGGATCCGATCCGCGGGCCTGCTGAGACGGTCCGACGTCACATCTGGGGAACTTGACTCGCTCCTTCAGCCTCCGGGCCGCGGCTCAGGCTGCACTGTGCGCCGGGCGACGGCCCTGGGCGGAGGCTAACTGTTCCCGGAATCACGGTGGCCGGGGGGGAACCGGCCGGGCGGCGGCGCCCTCCGGTTGAAACTCTGAGTCAATCATTGAATCAGGCTCCGACGCCAAGTTAGGCTCGTCTGTGCGGCATCATTTTTCACACCGGGCTGAGTCAAGTTTTCGCCGACTCCGGGCGGCCGGACGACGACCGGACTCACGGTCCGGGACTCTCGATGATCCGGCAGGCCCGGCGGGCCGCCGGCCGCCACCGCCGGCCGCCGTCGGAGTCTATTCAGAGTCTCAGCGAGGCTTTGAAGTTTTGCTGTGGCAGACGGTATATCCGATCCGGAGTACTATGAAACACGTCCTGCCGGGCCCGGGGGCGGAAGTCCGATGGACGGTACCGGCCAGGGGGTGCCACCGTGGCCCCGGCTCCGAGGCTCCGCGGATCGGACTCTCAATCGGCCGGAGTCCGATCTCAGAGTCAACGGGGAGCAGAATCGAGTCGACGGGTCCGATCTTCAACGGGGAGCAGAATCGAGTCGACGGTAGCACTGCAGCGTCCGAGGCTCCGCGCGGGGGCGCGGCGGCCGACGCGGCCGGCCCGGGGCCCGCGCCGCCCCGTCGGTGGCACTGTGAGAGCGGTAAACTTCGGGTGGATCCGGTCACTACGGTCCCATGTGAGAGTCAGACGGTGACTGGCCGGGGCGGGTCATGATACTATAGGCGCCCGCCCCGGCCCACGACCGGGTGCCACTACGGCCCACCCGGTGACCGGGGCGCGGCGGCCGGGCGGCCGGGCGGGCCGCCCGGCAGCGCTGCACTGCACTGAGGCCAGCTCAGTTCGGAACCCTCTGAAAAAGTTTGTGGGAGTTTTCGCGCCCAAAAATGGCGGAGCAGGTCGTTCCTGTCCTCAGGCCGATGGAGGCCAAGATGCATGAGGCAAGCGCCATCACGGTTCCAACCGAACAGATTCTGATGGACCTTCTAAACTCATTTGTGCGAACTTGCATGTTGTAGAACATGAGATTTTACTTACTTGAAAATGCAGAGGAAAATAATTCGAGGACTTGAACTCAGCACCAAGATGGAATGGTTTGCAATGAGACAGTATGCAATGAGGAAAGATATTTCGCTTGTATATCTATCATGATTTGATTCATTTTGATAGACTTTACAATCTCTCTATCGAATGGGGAAGACAGATACGGTCCAGTCAAATCGCGCACCTGAAAAACCTGAGCTGCAGGATCTTTACACAAAGTGTCGAAAATTGCAGAGACAGCATGAGCTCGGCAGAAACAATCAAGAATGAATTGATTTTGGCTGAAATTTACTTACAGACGGCAACGTCGTATCAGGAGCGCTCGGATTGAATTTCAATGATCAATGCATCTGACGTGAGGTCTGAACAGGCATATGGCGATCTAGAACCTGCAAGGCAGGCATGCGATCTGGCTGAGGGCTTTATCACCAATGCATGCAAATTAAATCCTCTTCTAAGCCAAGATGATGGAGTGTTCATGTTAAAGATGGATGCCATGTTCAGGAGATGTGAGCTGAGTGTAGCGCTTGGAAACTGGCAGGATGGGCTTTCCATCATGAGAGAGGTACTCAGTCCAGAAAAACTGATGAGTTTGATTGACTCCTTTGACAAGGTCAAAGAAATGTTGACAAATTCTGGAGAAAATGGCAAGAGCTTGGCGCGAAAGTTTGGAGTTCTGGCGGTTGTGCAAACTGTCCTGTCGCAGTATTTAATTGTCTGGCAACAGTATAACTTCGGGATTGCATGCATCAGCAGAGACGAAGAGTCTCTTTCTACTGAAGAAAAAGAGAGGGCTCTTGTATGGGCTCGGCAGTCTGCAGAGTTGTTTGCACGATCATCCCCTGCTGAGCACGCTCGGGCACTGGCACTTATAGCAAACATTCAAATCGCTTCAGGTATTCTCTGATGATTCCGTGGCATGGGATTCAATCAAACTCAACCTTGCTCATCTGTTTTGGTAGGTATGGACTTTCAAGATGCCTTGGACAATCTTGTGATCGCCAACGAAATTGCACCGAACATCACGTTTCTTAGTCTTCAAGTGATGTGCTTGATAGAGATGAAAAAAATCGATTGCCCAGGTGGAGTCAGAAGTGTTCTTGAAGCCGAATTTTCGACCAAAAAATATCTCGATTCTAGAGATACGGATCAACAATGCAAGGATTGGTTGCAGATTATGTCCCTTCTAGTTCGTGCAAGGGCGTCAGATATGTGCAACAAAGGATTTGAGATGCTTTCTGCCATATACGTGAACGACCAAGACAAATGGGAAAAAGTCCAGGTGTGTGCAAGTCCCTCAAACTGGTATGACGAAACGATTCGTTTAGACGACATGGGCTGCTGCACTAGCATCGCATATATATGATCAAAACAAACTTGAAGAGACAGTGGATCAACTGATCACTGTTAACTCAAAATCTTCATGTAGCGAAATCACTTGCAGACAGGTATGGGCAATCACCGCTTTAATCCTCTGAAGTCAATTTATGCAAAGATGCTCTCAATCTGCTCTGGAATCATCAAGGAGTTGGTAGATTTCCTTTTTTTTTGCAAAGGATACGAGTTAAAGGGTACACCAGGATGAAAGTGGAAAGTATCTCAAGGCGATAGAGTGGCGCAAAAAGGCAATCAATTTTGCAACTCAGGCACAAACTCAAGATATTAGAAGGTGAAATAAGCTTTCAACAACTGAGATTGAAATTTGATGCAGACAAATTGTTCGCATAGCTTTGCGGGCTGGAGCAATAGAAGTTGCACGATCCTACATTTCAGACATCCAGAGTGACAACAACACTGAAGAGGGACTTTTCCAAAACCATGTCCTGGAGCTACAGCTGGAAGCAAAATCCGGTGACGTTTTGATTGATCCATGCACTCAAGTATTGAAAGCGCTGACAGGAAACGTGAAACAAACTTATGACATGATTCAAAAGCTTTCCGATAGCAATTATGATCCCAACCTTGCTGCAGAAGCACTCAACTCAGCTTGTGTAGAAGCAGTCGATAATGGAAGTACGGAGATTGTTCAGAAGTGTTTGGAAATTTTCATCGATAATATCGTGAAAGTCAATCCTCCAGGCAAGATATCGAATGTGAAAGTGGACAAGGTCATAACTTTTCAAACTTTTTGTATACATCCTAAATGTTGACGACGGCCCTATCAGATTTTTCTGAATCTGATTAAGTTCTGGAAATCTGAAAACGAAACAGCAGATCACGGGAAAGTGGTCCGTTACCTGAAGGTAAAGATCCACATGCTACAGATTCGCAAATGGGATGACTGATGTTTGAAGGTTGCAATTGACTGGATACGTAGCCACTCCATAGAACAATTCTGCTCAGAATACGAAAAACATGGCTTCACCTCAATCAGAACACTTTCAGACTGTGTATGGAATCTTGCAGTGTCCAATTATCAGACAATTGCTACATGCAACAAAGACGTCATGCATAAGTTTTATGATTTCACAGCTCAATTATACAGCTTAGCTGCTGACTTTCGTGATATCATTCCAGTCGATTTGTTGGTTCAATCGGATAAAGATTTTACTCGGTTGTGCCGATTTCTAGCAAGTGCTGCCTGGCTTCTCAGTTTCAAACAATCAAACCGAGATCAAGCAATGGAATCATATCTGCAAAATGCGTTGGAGTCAATCAAGTATCTAAGAGGGATAGCTTCTTATTCCATTCTGAGTTTCAGATATCAGGCCATTATCTGCAGCAAAGCACGACAGCAAAAAACAAAACTCGTTGCTTGCCGAAACAAAGCTACATTTTGAGCTTCTGTGCTATTCTCGTTCAGGAACAAAGGAATGCATGCATGTAAGTTTATCATAGGTCGATGCACTCAATTTTCGACTCATCATCTTCAAATCCAAAGATCTTGGACTCAATCCTAGAATTGGTGAAAAATAGCGACATTCCACTACAATCAAGGTATGTCTTGCGTTGTTCTCAACAGCTTCGGTGTGGATTTCTCTTGTCATAATTATTGCCCAGATTGAACCATTTGCTGCAAGTCTCCACAATCTGTTACCATTCTCATGCTCCCGCAGAAGTATCAGAACGGTAACATCAATTGAAAAGTTTGTTTTTGATGAACAACGCGGTTAGAGTCTATCGAGAAACGATCAAAGCAATGAAGATGGGCGACGTGGTCGACGTAGATTTACTAGCACAGTTGCTACATCTTTGCACGAATCCGTCATGTGAAGCTTGGTGTCAAACGTACTTTCCAGTGGTCTTGTAATTCTTTGTTCTATGATTTTACTTGCAGAAATCCACAGCTTGATATATTCGAGGAAATTCTGGAGACCTGCCAGAAATTCGAAAAGTTTCCTTCAAGATTCGTTCAGATCAGTGCAGTTCTCGCATGCAACGCGGGTATTAAACATTATTTCTATGGAAGAGCCTTACAGGTTGTTGACAAGCTTTCACATTTGCAGTGATCAAAGTTCTGATGCATTCTGAAGCAGGCAGAAAAATGGTTGGGGATGTCATTACAACTAGCAAAGGCTTGCAAGGGGATGACTAATGACATCATGAACCGTATCGTGGAGGTCTGATGCTTTCCTTATCTTATGCTTTCCTTTATCTTGTCATTCGTCTCTTGATGTAGAGGAAATGTTCTGAATGCGGAAAGTTCTTGTTTTCTATTTCAGCACAATTGTGAAGCTCAATCTAACGTTCCTTGACATTGCAGACGTACGAAGAAGTTCTTCAAAACAAAAAATTGATGGAAATGTAACATCGTAGAAACGAAAGGACGATTCTTGAAAATCCTCTTTTCTCGGGATAGAGCCGTCGTTACTTGGCGTTGAGTTTTGCTCGAAGCTCAGCATTTTCCGATTCCAATTCCTTAATTCGCTTTTCCATCTCCTGAAAACTCGTCAGTGATAGATAATATCAAAAGAATATTACCTTCATGCGATCATTCGTGTTGACAGTCACAGTAAGTGTACCTTTGAGCTCAACCCCACCCTGCAACAGTCGATCAGGCCGGAGGGAATGACACGGGGAAAGAAAAGGAGTGGGAGGTGAAGAATACACTACAGAGGGGCAGACGAGAGAAAGAAGCAGCAAACTGCACATAAAGATATGTAGGGACCGTACCACAGTCTGGAAGACTTGGAAGCTCGTTTCTTCAGGCAAGGGGTATGCGTCGGACTTCTCAACAGTCTTGGTTTCAGGCTGATGTTCAACTGCGGGCGGTTCTGCTCTGCTCTCACTGTCTGCTTTCTCAGCGGCTGCCTTTGACGGCTGCTGCTCTTCGCACTCTTCTGCTCCGTGACGGCAGCCGCCTGATGCTGTGTCGGGTGAGCATCAACAAAAACAACAGAGGCGGGTACTGGTGCTGGTTCCAAAGTCGCAGCCGGCTTCGTTTCCTTTGCCGCCTGCAGTTTCTTTCAGACACTCATTGCCCTTTGCTGTACCAGTGTGTTCAGCCTTCACCTGCCCTGTGATCATATCCACCAAGGCGGGTTTGGCGTTTGAACCATTCATCCACTTGTTAACCCAGTCAGGGTTACACCTCTCGATCATTATGAAATAACCTCAGGGCCAGACAGACAAGATTTTCCAGCGTAAGTAGGAGGATATAGATCCTGATTGAAATCAGCTACTAGAAAAAACGTCCAAGATCCTCTCACGTCATTCGATTGATCTGCCCGGCGAGGAACGGTGAAGGACACTGGCTCCACATACTTGTCGCAGCTGCCAGCACCGTCATGGCATGCAACATCGCCAGCTCCTGACGCCTACAAGCGAAGGAATCTATTGATCTCTGTGTTGGCCATGTCCACGACAGTCTGGAAGACTCTCTGTCAGACCGTAGCATGTTCATGAGGAGGTCAGTGTTGCCTTCGGCATGCAGCAAACCCCCCTTTGCGTGTCTTTCCCTGCAAGACATTCCTTCCTCGTCAGGAAGGGGATGTGCTATCCTATAGGTTACTACCGGAGAACTCGTCCAGGAAGTGAATGTAGGGGTCCGTGGACACGATCTCGTAGTAACGGATGTTGCAGTCGCCCTGCGTTGAAGGTGAGGGAAAAAGCCAAGGTGGAGGAAGACAGGCAGGCAGGTCGCGGGGAGGTAGGAGCAGCGATAGGGCAGCTGCAACGGCAGAGAGATCGAAGGAGTGGGAGGAGAAGGAGGTGGCCGGGGAGGAGTGTGAGGAGTGAGAGTAGGGCGAGGAGAAGGAGGGGAGCGGAGACGAGGAAGGGGAGACAGGCGAGGAATGGGGATCAAGGAGGACAACGTACCTTGCCAGCCAGGTAAAGGATGTTGGTGTCCGGATCGAAGAAGGGAAAGAGCATCCCAAAGTCCTGCTGGGGTTCAGCAGCAGCAGCAGCAGCAGCAGCAGCAGCAGCAGCAGCAGCAGCGGCCGCAGGCCGTCAGTCACATGGTCGATAGAGTGAAGCACAAGGGGCTTGGTGATGTCCCGAGAGTCTCTTAGGATGATCTGCTGCGGCGGTGAGGGATGGCCTGACACTCAACTCCGCTCCCCCCCGTCCCACCTGCCGGTCGCTCTGAGCAGAGAAGCCAACGGTCGCCAGCATGCTCGTCTGTCAGCTAGTCAGCCAACCTTGTCATGGTGACGTGTCACTCAGAGCTCGAAAGCTCTAGAGCCCTGCAGCTCGAGCTCTAGAGCCCTGCAGCTCGAGCTCTAGAGCTCGATCTAGAGTTATACCTCTCCGAGAAAGCACGCGTGCGCTCCCTTGGACCCTCCTTGGCTGGCGACCTTCTGCGCGATCGAGCCTGCTGGGCTGTCAGATCGGTGCGTTGGTGTTCCCATTGACTTTCCTGAGCGAGGATCGCAAATTCGTAGGATCTTGTCCTTACACGTGGACGCGAACAGACTGCCATCGTAATTCCATGCGATGTGCTGCGGACTGTCTGGGAGCTCGATCGATCGAAATTCTGCAGCCTGACCTCTCAAGTAAGAAGACAACAGGGGAGGGACGTGGGAGAAACAGGAGGAAGGTGGAAGGGGAATCGTGTGGAGGAGAGGAAAGGAAGAAGCAGGAAATTGAAGTTGAGGAACAAGACTGGAGTGCAACGGAGCAGAACAGGAAACAGGAGAGAAGAATACAAGGGAGGACACGGATAACACGAGTGACATAGAGGCAAGGAGGAAGAGGAGGAGGAGAAGGAGGAGGAGGACGGCAAGGAGGAGGAGGAGGTGGTGGTGGAGGAGGAGGTAGAAAGGAGAGGAGGAACGAGACTGCAGAATAGCTTGTGAGGCACAGCGACTCATCCACCTTGTTTGCGTCCCATATCCGGACGGTGTTGTCGAAGGAGGAGGAGAGGACGATGCCGTCTGCTACAGGATTCCATCGCGCTAACATCACCTGCACGTGATGGTTCATGGGAGTTCACTCTCTCCCCCTTGGACCTTCTTGGAGTGACCCTGCAGCTGCACAGAGCACTTGTCGTCGGCGTCTTCCTAGAAGAGCAGAGGGTTATTGGCGATAGAAAAAAGGAGCAGAGAGAAGAGGAGAGGAGGGGAGGGGAGGAGAGGCGAGGAGAGGGGAGGGGAGAGGAGAGGAGGAGAGAGGAGAAGAGAGGAGAAAGAAGCAGGGAACAGAAGAGGGTAAGACCGGAGGGAGGGAGGATGGAGGAGAAAAAAGAGCAAGTCCAACAATCATCAAGAGCGCTAGATAGGCTTCACAGGTGAATGAAGAGAGAAGGCAGGATTGTGAGAAAGCATGAAGAGGATGGGAGCTGCTGCAGAGAGATGGAGGAGAACTGAGGACAGAGGACGAGAAGATGGGAAGTATTGGGGGAGACCGGGAAGAGGAGGAGAGAGGGGAACAGGAATACAAGCAGCGGCAGGAAGCTTGCGAAGCAAGGTTGATACCTTGAGAGGAGACGTAGAGTCCATCAGTTGTTCGAAGTTCCAGACCCTCAGCGAGCTGTCCTCAGAAGCTGGAGCAGGCCATCATTGTCAGACTGACGGCAAGCACTTGGTAAAGGTCCAACCTGAAACGATGACGCTTTCGTAGAAGGGGCTGAAACTGAGATCCTAACAGAAGGATGGCGGAGGGTAAGGACGGGATGTAGC